AAATAAGAATTGGATCAAGTAAACGTTTAATTGTTTGAAGTGATGTTTCATTAATACGACGTTCACTAAATAAAAACCAAAGACCACCACGTTGTTGATAATTATTCATTAAATAGACATCTTTTATTTTATCATAAATTACACAAACAATATAATCTAATGATAAATGTCCATCAATAATATTATTATTTGATGATGGTAAATTCTTATGATGCATAATAAGATAAAAATAAACGAAATACGAATCAATATTTTCTTCTTTTTTTTTTGAAAAAAAAATCTAGGTGATAGGAAGCGCTTGTTTTCAGTAAGATAAAATGATGTATTTTGTTAAAAGAAATCTTTAATTAGTCTATTAGACAACAAAATTTGACAAGTCTTATCTGTTTTTATTTTGAAATAGAGCAAAAGAAAAAGAAATAGCATCAATGAAAAGTATTCTAGCAAAAAAAAAAGAAATATTTCAAAAAACGAGCAATAAACAACACAATACAATAAAAACATTTAAAACGATGACAAAGAAGAAAATTGATTCTTCTAGCCTAAATGCGATAAATAGAAAGTAGTTATGACAATTAATATAATAAACAACGATGAATATCGTCGTATAAAAGTAGTGTCTATTAACAGAACACGACAAGTACGATAAATGTTCAAATTATAATAAACAAACACGAATATAGAATGAATTTTAATAATTAATCGATACTGGCATATGTCCTTGACCTTGATGATGATGATGATGATGTTGCATACCATCTACATGATAATTTTTCATCTCGGCAACAGGAATTTGTGTGTATGAACCAGTACTACCAGTATAACCGCCAGTCGTCATACCACCTATACCAGAACCTGATGCATAACTATTTGACGAGTCAGGTCTTTGAGCACCACCGCCACCACCACCACCGCCGCCACTACCATTTCGTTGACGAAGTTCTTGATACATTTGCTGCTCTACTTGATCAGTTTTTTGAACAATATCGTATGCTGGACGACCATATCGACGTACTAACGTTGATTTATCCGTTCTTTGCCAAGAATTATTAATAGTTGCATCGAGTACTTCTATTGGGGCTGTACAACTAAGTGGTCCAGCATCGACAGCTGATGCACTACTTGTTCGAGCTAAATTAGAGTATGATTCTTGATAATTATTACCACCACCACCACCACCTTGTTGTAGATTGAGTTGAGCAGCCGATTGACTATGTTGAAAATGGTCTGGAATTGTTGTTCCTTGTGTATTATAGTTACTTGTCATTTCATGAGCTGTATCTGTAGTATACTGTTGTTGTTCTTGTTGAGTAGGCGTATAACCATAATTAGTACCACCCGTAAAGTCAGCACAACGACCACCATAAGCGACTGGTAAATTATCTCGATAGACGTATTCTTCTTTAACAGTTTTAGTTTCAACTTCTTGATTAACATTATTACCACCACCACCACCATTACGTAAAGGAACAGGAACTGGTCGTTCACGATCAATAATAATTGGTCGTTGTGTAACAGGTACTGGTCGATCAACAAGCACAGGTCGAGCTACATGTATGACTTGAGGACGTACAATTACACCTATGAACGAAAAATAATATATATAGATTGTTTTAAAAAAGAAATTTTATCATATGAGAAAACTTACGTTCTCGTGGAACAAAGACAGGTTTAATAACAGGTACGTAAACATTACGTGGAATATAAACAACATTAGGTGGTCCGGTGTTTGTTTGTTGTATAGAAGGACCCGTTGATACTCCTGTTGTCGACGCTGTTTCACCTATTGTAGAAATGGAAAGGAATTGTAGAACAAATTTTAATATATTTTGTTTTTACCTTGTCGTGGCATATAGAAGACAGGTTGAATAGGTTGCACAATAACTCGAACTTCACCAGCACTACTACTTGTCGGTCTTCTTTCTGTTTCTCTCTTATCATCAAAGCCTGTAGTTGGATTAATTTGAGTTTGTGTACCACCATCATGTCCTGTCCATTGTATTTTCGCGCCTGATCCTCCAGTTTGTGCCATACGTCTACAAATTTTTGATAAAAAATATAAAAATGAATAGTTTAAATATTAAAAAGCTTTACTCAATAGCTGCAAGAATTTCATTTCGGAATCGTTCGAAATCGAATTGTGAACCTGATTTTGGACTTCGTGATCCTGATGGTGAACGTGAACGTGATTTTCCTGGTCCTTCACTCTTGAAAAATAAAAATATTTTCTATCAATTAATATTGAAATAAAAAGTTTGAATCTATACTTTGCTTCGTTTTTGCCAAACTTCTATAATTGTTGCTCGACTCGAAGTATTTGCTTCTATTTCTCTAGAATAAAAAAAGAAAACAAAAACATTTTTTTTATATGATAGTAGAAAATATAATAATTTACTGTTCTCCATAACTAGCACCACCAGCAGCACCACCACAACCACTAGCCTGTTGATAACTAGAAGAATAACCACCTCCACTTGATCCACCTATATCGCTAGCACCTGCTTCAACAATATAATCAGCTACAAGTTGACCTTGTGGTGGAATTGGAAGACTTGCTGCTAAATTGGCTAGTCCACCACCTGATCCAGTTGCTCCAATTGGTCCAACTAATAAATATATATATGAAAAAATATATTAATGAAAATGTACATTAAATAGATAATATTAAGTGACTAACCTCCGCCATAACCCATACCACCTGATGTATTAGTAAGACCACCCATACCACCTAGACCAGGTTGAGGCATACCACCACTTGAAATAATTTGTCCTGTATACATAGTAGCACCAGGTGGACATGGACCACCAGGAGCAGCTGTCAAAATCATTTGTTGCCAACCAGGTGGACAACCACCCATAGTTCCCATAGTTGATAGCCCTGCACAAGGATTTGTCATTGTTAATGGTAATGGTGCAGATGCTGGTTGTGGTGAAAGACCTGAACTATGGCCTTGAGATCGTGAACGAGTTTCTTTGTCAAGACCTTGGACTTCGATTTTTCCTTTATATTCATAACCAGGTGGTGGTTCTTGTCGATGTGGACTATGATCACCACGTTCAATAAAAATTAGATCATCATTAATATGTCCGTAACCATCCGGACCAGCTGTTGTACGACCTTGAGAAGAACGTGATTGATGTGCTTGTGCATAACCCGCATGCTCTGTACTATGATTGCGATGATGACGACGTCGTGAATGAGTCACTTGTTCAACTCTTGCATCACTATCACCACCTGATGGAATTGGTGAGCGTACTTGTGGTGCTTCATTTCCTAATACACTTGATGAACGTTGACCAATTAATTGCCTAAAAATAGAAAATTTTATGCTTACAAATTGTATTTTTTAACGAAACTTACTCTGGTATCCCTTGACTTTGATCGGCATTGGAATGCATTGTTTCACCATGATAACGATGTCGTCGTCGATGATGTCTCATCATAGATGCTCCAGAATTACCACCATATTGACCCTGTTGTCCATAGCCATTACTTTGATGCTGATGTCCAAAACCATAACCACCACCACCACTACTACCACCATATTGCTGTTGTTGTTGTTGTTGTGGTTGTTGTTGATAATAACTTCCTCCACCTACTCCAATACCACTCGCACCATATGGTACACCGAATCCATTACCATGTTGTGCACTTTCCTCTATAATAAGAAAATTTGCATACGGTTTTTTTTTTGTTATTTTAATTTAGAGTTAATGTCTTACGTGGTTGAAAAGGATGACCGTGATCTACTTTATGTATTGATTCATCACGGCTTAATGGTGATTCACCAATACCGCCTTGTCTAGGTTTACGTTGTCGATGATGACGATGACGATGATGATGATGAACAGAACCTGACGGTACTCCATATCCGGAGTTAAGAGGAACGGCGCCAGCATTGGCAAAGCGCGGATCAATCATTGCAAGTGAACAGACAAGAAATAAAAATTTACTACAAGAACAAACTATCAACTAATCTGAAACAAAAAAAACAAGACTATCAATAAAATGGCCTCATTTGTTATATTCATCTAATAACAAAATTTTCCTTCACGATGATTCAATGATTGTATGTTCGAGGACAATGTGTAAAGCTATAATTTTGCGGTTTTTTTATTTCACTCTACGCCAATATATATGTTGCGTGAATATACGTATATATATTTACTTTTATATCGCAATACGACCATCACCATAAGAATAATTACCTAAAAACGGTAGAGAAAAATCTAAAGGCATACATTTATGACTATCAGCTCACCTTCACACACTCGGTCACACGCGCACACATATACACACACAAACATATGTATGTGTGCGTAGGCCGATTGTGACGGATGATATACAGTCTCTACCATCGCTTTTAATAAACAACAACGACAATCAATCCTCAACAATACCGAACATATATATATTCGAATGTGTGAGTGTGTGTGTGTGTGTGTGTGTCTGGACTATACCGAAAAAGAAGAAATAAGTATGTGAAGCAAAAATGGGTGACAAGCACAACCTATCTCTTGCATTTCATCTCAAGCGTATCGATTGACATGCAGCAAATATATGGGAGAGAGATAGAGAAAAAGACAAGGAATATGAAAGAAAAGATAGAAAAATGACATACACAGATTAATGATCTCATCATGGAGATGTGACTGATATAGAGAAAAAAAGAAATAATTGAAAATCTCTTAAATTTTTTTTTTTCATTTGAAAAATTTAATTTTACATTACCATTATATTGTAACGATAGAGTGATAAAAGAACTATTTCACACCTATTACACTAGAGAAACCGCAATCGATAACAAATTAAAAATATACAAACAACTATATAAATAGTCGATGTTGTTGTTATTTTTAACTATCGTTCCTCATATTATACCGTATCACTATTATCATGTTAACATAATAAAAAAACAAAAATACAATTTTGAAAGTATCTAATTAGAACTGACAAAATCTCTGAAGAGCATCAATACTGTCATAAAATATTGCTTGAGACAGATACACTTGATTAAATATAACAGTGACAAATATTTTGTATGTATATATATATTTATCAATGATACAAGAATATTATTTAAAGAAAACAGGTAATATTTATCATAGGTATGATCAAATATAGGTAAAGGTTTTTAGAAAAAATAATAAAATACGTTTTACAAATGATACACTCTAAATTTAGTTAACTAGACAAAAAATTGTATTTAAGGATAT